AAATAAGATAAGGTGTGGGAAAATGGACAGCACGCATAAACAATAACAAGCAAGATGGGAGGAGGAAAAGAGGCGGTTTGCATCTCCACAAAACATTCCAAGAAATGGTGCGACACATAAATTTGAAATAAATCTCTCTTTTCTATTTATCCCCCCCTTTTTTTTAACTCAATGAGAGACAACAATAACGACAACGAGGAGTTTCGTCCATTAAATTCTCTTTTCCCTAAATTTTCCTACGCGTGCTTTCCTCCTTTCTCTCTCTCTCTCTCTCTTTTTCTTTTTCTTTTTTTCTCTGTTTCTGTGTGTATGCGTGTTTCTTTTGCTGTGTCCTTTGAATGCCTGAATGAAACGTCGAGAAAATACACACGACGCAGCATATTGATTGTGATGATGGGAGAAGGAAGAGGAGGCGGAGGCGGAGAGGGGTGGAGTGGTGTGGTAACTGCAAAAAATGGGGGATGCTGCTGCTTTCCAATCAAAAGGGGAAGACTGTGGAAAAAGCAGTCGAAAGGAAGCGGCAAAAACACAAAATAAAAGAATGCGTGAAAGACTGGGCGCAGTATTCTTGGTTGAGGGGATTTTATCCTTCAGTTGTGTTTTTTTCCTCTTTTTTTTTTTTTTTTTTTGGTGAACTTTTAACTTTATCCCCCCCATCAACTCTCCAACACGCATGGAAGGTGCGGCGGGGTGTTTGTTTGGGGAGGAGGAGGAGGCGGGTTTGCCCCCCGTGCGCAATCGGGAGAGGGAAAGTCCGGCGGTGCTGACATCATCATCATGGCGGTACCGGACGACAATGCCGAGGAGGTTGAACTGCTGCTTTCGATATCCCCCGAAGTGGTTTGCAGGGACCCTACGCACTCGTCGACTCTTGTCTTCTTGCTGCCATTTCGCTTTGTTCTCCACGTCACCCTGCCGCCACGCGGATACCCGGATGTGTCACGTCCTTCACTCTTCGTGGCGGCGGGTCCAAACGCACATCTTGTCAATCAGTTTTCGTCCCAGCTGAATAAAGCTCTTCGCGAGGAAGTGCCGCTCGGTGGACCGATGCTGCTGCATATTTTTACGCTTGCGCAGGACATCGCAACCGAACTGCAGCGAACACGTGAGGCGGAGGCTCAGGAAGCAAAGGCACGGCGGGAGGCGATGGAATCGGAGGCACAGTTAGCCCTTGCAGAGCGAGAGGCCTCATCGGTGGAGGTATGGGCCAGCGATGCCATTACGGATCGCAAGTCGAAGTTTGTTGCGCACATGGCGCGTGTAGACTCAGAGGCGGCTGTGCGAGAAGTGGTGATGCATCTTCGTTCTCAGAAACACATTGCGGAGGCGGCGCATCCCACCATCTATGCCTACCGCTTCACCGACAGTTCCGGCGTGGTGCATCACGACAGCGATGACGATGGCGAGACGGGGGCGGCGTCAAGGATCATGTTTCTTTTGGAGCAGATGAAGGTGGACGGCTATGTTGTGGTCGTGACGCGTTGGTTTGGCGGCGTTCTGCTTGGTCCGGATCGTTTTAAGCACATCATGGAGGTGGCGCGGAGTATTTTATTGACAATCCCACAGCGGGAGAAGGAGAGGGGCGTCCGCGACTGGCAAGACAGGCAGTGAGTTCCTTAAAATACGAGGATGACAAGAGAGAAAGAAAAAAAGAGGAGGAGGAGGAAAAGTTTTTTCTTTTGTCTTTGTGTGTGTGTGTGTGTGTGTGTGTGTGTTGGTCCTTCTGTGGGCGGAATTCATGAAACAGAAGAGGTGGGAATGTGTGAGGAATTTAAATGACCACAGAGGCGTATTATAAACATTGTGCACATATACGCAGAGGAAGGGTGTAAGGGAGATATCAACCTTTTTTTTTTTTTTAAGTCTTTTTCTCCTTATTTTTTTTTTTTTTTTTTTGGTGTAAAGGCCACACAAAAACAACAACAAAATAGAATAGAAAATAAAAGGCTTGAGTGCGTGTGTGCGTGTATTATTATTTTGTAGATTGGATAGGGAAGTTGTCATGTCATTACGTGTCAATGTTGACTCTTTATTTGATACGACCCATACTGTGCCTTTAGTTGGCAGCCAAAGTAACACGTTGGGTTTACCGGTTGGCGAGGAAGATGAAACTGGGAATTTGTGCCCATCTCTCTCCTTTCAGGAGCGGGTGATTGGCTTCGCTGTGTGCCTTGGCCTTGGATTTCTCTTTTCGATCTTTGCATGGGTCTCTATCTTTGCGCTTGATTTCAATACATTTGCGGTTATCAACACTGTGTCCAATGTTACATCTATTGGGAGCACGATGTTTCTCTGCGGTCCTATGGCTCAGCTAAAACGGATGTTTGACTCCAAGCGTCTGATTGCCACAATAATATATTTTACATCCATGGCGTTGACATTTATTGCGGCACTTGTGCTTCGTATTCCGTGGCTAACGATCATCACAGTGCTGGTGCAGTACGTTGCAATGCTGTGGTACTGTCTTAGTTACATCCCTTTTGCTCACACAGCCGTGCTGAAAGTTCTGGGCCTCGGGTAGCGTGTGTCTTTGCCTGCCTGTCTGTCTCTCTGCCTCTGTGTGTGTGGCTTGCAACGTGAGGACGTCGAAGCAAAAAAAATAATTATTATTATTATCGATTGCAAGTAAAATACCGCTTTTTTGTTTTGTTCTTCTTATCATCATCATCATGCCGCAGTTGAACTTCTTTTTTTTTTTTCGCACGTCGCTTGATTCTACGATATTTATTTATTTTATTGTTTTTTATATTTCCAAAAAAAAAAAAGAGCATGAAAGGATGCCATCAGTTTTTCACGTGAACATCGCTTGCCTTTTTTTTCTCTTTCTCTCTCTCTCTCTTTGCTTTCTGTCTGTCTCTCTGTGTTGATATCACGGCCGTATGAGTCCTTTGAATTGCATTACCGTTCAGTCAGCCTTATGGCTCGCGCGCACAACGCGACATTGGAGTCGATCCAGTACGCCAGAGGGACGCTGCGCCTCTTGGATCAGCGGAAACTGCCCCTCGAGACCGTCTTTGACGAGATCCTCACCGTAGATGACATATGGACGGCCATCAAAGAGATGCGTGTGCGTGGCGCGCCCGCAATTGCTGTTAGCGCCGCTCTTGCCATCGCCGTGGCCGCAGGGAATGAATTAAAAAAGAAAGACGGAGCTTGCAATTCGGTCGACGGTACACGACGTTTTCTACTCGAGAGCTGCGACACCGTCATGACAGCCCGTCCAACAGCCGTGAATCTCTCGAAAACACTCATACAACTGAAACGTGATATTGCGGATGTTACGGCGAATACGGCAGGAGGTTTGGTGGAGGCGTGTGCCGTTTTGGCAGAAAAAATTTACGCGGAGGATGTTGCCTGTAATGAGGGCATCATGCGTCATGGTGCAGCGCACTTAACGCAACTCGTTAAAAAGTCAAAGGTGAGTGTGCTTACTATATGCAACACAGGAGCCCTTGCCACGTCACGGTATGGCACGGCTCTTGGGGTTGTGCGTCAGCTCTTCTATGAAGGCAAACTGGAACAGGTGTATGCATGTGAAACACGGCCGTGGAATCAAGGGGCACGGCTCACGGTGTATGAATGTGTCCAAGAGAATATTCCATGCACGCTTATTTGTGATAGTGCCGTCTCAGCTCTCATGGGATCCCGCCCAATTGACGCCGTCATTGTCGGCGCCGATCGCATTTGCCGAAATGGAGACACAGCAAATAAGATTGGAACATGCAACCTCGCGGTGGCCGCGGCACACTACGGCGTTCCTTTTTTTGTGGCCGCACCCTCCACAACGCTGGACCCAATGACAGCCGACGGTGAAAGTGTCGTCATTGAGGAACGTGAGACGATGGAGTTGACACACAGCATGGCAACTCAGCAGCGTGTAGTGGCAGAGGGACCGTCGCTACGTATTTGGAACCCAGTGTTTGACATCACCCCTGCCGCGCTTGTCACCGGCGGTATCATCACAGAGCGTGGGGTACTGCAGCCCTCTGCAACTGCTCCCTTCTTTGACATTACCCGCATTGTTAGTGCAAGCTGAAACGAGAGGGTGCATCCAACCAACAATTGAGGCTCATGAGCCTGTTATTATTATTATTTTAACTTTTATGCACAAAACACGCACACATGCGTACTTTAACCATTTGTGTGTATGTGGAGAGGCCTGAGAATGTGTCAATTGTTGTTGCTGCCATGGAGGAACGGTGGAAGATAATACGGTTGACAGCATTCTTTTATTTATTTATTTATTTATTTTTTGTGTGTATATGTGTCTGCAATGTGTGTGCATGTGACATCTCAACCTTACTTTTGCTCATCTCCTGCCATTCTGTTTGTTTTCTTGGCTTAATTTCTTTTAAAGGCACATTTGTTTTTGTGGGCCACTTGTCTTCAAATAATAATAATAAACAGAAAGAAGGATAAAAGCAAAGGAAGAGAAGCGTATTGACATTAAACCACACAAAAGGCTAAGAGGGTAAAATGTATGCTCGAGAGCCGCCGCCTGTTCACAATATTGCCGTGCTCATTGCCAACGGGCCGGAAGAGATGAGTCTCTCCGCCATTTTTGAGTTTGTTCGTCGCTTATTTTTGTAATAAGAAAGCCTCCCTTTTTTTTTTTTTTTTTGTTCCTTTCTCTCTCTATTCTCTATACTTTTTTTCTTTTTAGTTTTTTTGGACTGGAATTATTAAAGCGATGATTTTTTTTTTTTTTTTACTTCTATGAAGTGGGGAGTTATGAAAGATGAAAAAAAAGGGAAGGGGGGACACGGTTGCCGCACCTTTTTTTTTTTTTTTTTTGCGGCGGCGGCGGTTATGTATACGGCAAAAACACACTGTGGCACACAATGCGTGTTGACATGTCAATATAACAAATATATATGTGTGTGTGTGTGTGTTTATTGAGAGAAGTGAGGGTTGATGAAATTTCTTTGTGGGCTATTCGTTTATCCTTTTTTTTTCCCTCTCTCTCTCTCCTCTCTCTCTCTCTCTGTGTGTGTGTGTGTGTGTCTATGAAACAATAAGTGTGAACCACTTCTTCTTCTTTTTTTTTTCTTTTTTTTTATTCACACTTTTTGATGTGTGGCATTTTTTGCTTTTTTGACTTTTGTACATCTCTGCGTTCTTTTTTTTTTTTTTTCTCCTTCTACTCTTTTTGTTGTTGCTCTTCACCTGTGAACACGACTGCTTTGGTGGCAGTCGAACACAAAGAATTAGGAGAGTGAGAACGCCAGAGAGGGAATTGGAGAAGTTGTTAAGTGTGCAGATTATTGACGTTGTGAATACACTGGGGCGAAGAGTAAACGCGTGTGTGTGCGATGCCTTTGCCGCCTTTGGAAGAAGCCCCGCGCTCCATGACGCGTCGTAATTATCTCGTGGAGCGCAACCGCCTGCGCGTTAGTGCGTATGCGCCAACACGCAGGGAACTGGAGGAGGAAGACATTCGCATGGCGCAGACGCGTGAGGAGCGGCGCAGGAATATGCTCAACAGCTGGAAGAGCCAGTCCATGTATAACCCCGACCTCACACGGCCATTGCCTGGGGGCGGGCCACGCTCCAAACGCATGAAGGAGGCCGCCACACTTAAGAACCCAAATTACTACAAGATTGTAAAGGAGGAGGAAGCCCAGCTCAAGGCGGAACGCACTGCGATGTACAGGGCCGATGTGTTGCAGCAGCTGAAGGACCGAGAGGAATACCTCCGCAAGTGGCGAGAGGATGAGAAGGCGTATGTCAGTTCACTGGTGGAATCAAACAAGGAGCAGGCGCGCAAGTTGGAGGAGCGCGAGCGTGAGGAGGCCCGGGCCGAAAAGGAGTACATGAATCGCATGCGGGAAAGTAACCTGAGGGAGTTGGAGCAGAAGCGCATGAAAGAGCGGGAGCGTGAAGAGTATGAACTTTCCCTCATTCGTACTGTGCAGGCGCGTGAGAAGGAAAAGGCTGAGACGGAGGAGCGTCGCGCAAGGGACATGAAACAAATGATGCGGAGGGAAAATGAGGAATATCATCGTAGCATCAAGAAGAAGCAGAAGGAGGACAAGGCACGCGAAGAGGCGGAGTTGAAGGCCATACTGGAATACAACGCCACCCTCGCGGAGCGTGAGCGACAGGAGCAGAAGCAGAGGCGAGATCAATACAAGGCGGAATTCGAAGAGACCATTGAAAAACAAAAGGAGTTTTTCCGCACCCACAATTACGATGAGCCCCCCGAGTCCATTCGCGAGCGGAATGAAAAGGCGGCCGCAGCGTTGGCACTTATTAAGAAGGAGGAGCGGCTTCGACTGGCAGACCGCCGTCGGGAATATCGCCAAGAGTTAATGCAGCAAATACGTGAGAAGCAGGAATGGCAACTGACACACATTGATGGAGTGTAGAATGAAAATACAATGGAGAAAAAAAAAAGAACCCAAATAAACGAGGAAAAAAAAAAAGAAAAGAAGAAAACAATAATAATAATAATAATTGAAAATGAAAGGCCTTTTTTTCCCTTTTTTTTATTATTATTATGTATTTTACAGTATCTTTCTTCCATTGCGATGTATGTAATTTGAATAGACGTGAGTTTTATTGTTTTTTTTTACTCATGTTTTTACTTGGAGACGGGGGTGGTTCTGAGTGCCTTTCCGTTTGTTGTTTCATGCCGAATTCACCCGTCTCCATCTCCTCATAAAAAAAAAAATATATATATTTATTTTTCCTTCACTCACTCCTACACACACACACACACACACACACATGCATGTACATCGTCCTGCCGCTTGCACTCCTTTTACACTTTTTATTTATTTATTTATTTTTATATTTTGACTTTGTTACACAAGAACCTGTCAGCTGCCGGGGTCCAAGACAACAACAACAAAAAAAAAAATTGTGAGGGATGATAACGTGAATTTGTGTGTTTCTCCCTTCTTGTTTCATTGCGGTATTTGTTTTTTTCCCGGTTGTTTTTTTTTTTTTTTTTTTTTTTTGTGTGTGTGTGTTGGGCCAAGAAGGAAGTCTGGCGGGAGGTGACGTTTAGATAAACTGCGTGTTAGGTCGGTGTGTGATGTCAGCAGAATAACGGTGTTGGGTGGTGAAGAAGAGGAAGTGCCATCTTTCTTTCATAAATAAATATTATATATCTGCATATATGTTTCTTATATTGTTGTTATTGTTATATATCTGAAGATTTTGACGTGTGTACCATCTTTTTTTTTTTTTTTTCTTTCTCTCCAGTATGTTTGATTATTTTTTTTTTTTTTTTTGGGGGGGGGGGGGGAAAGGGAGAAGAAGAAGATGAGAGCGAAAGGGTGGTAAAAGACCACCTTCATGGGTTTGACCGTTTTCCTCTCTTCTCCTCTCCCCCTCTTACCCTGCATGTATGTTTATGTTTTTTGCGTGCCTGTATATGCGTGTATATATATATGTATGTATGTATAGACGGTTTTGTCGGATGTAATTTTTGTCTGGGATAGTTGAGCCCTAGCTGCAGGCTGTGAATCTTTTGGGCGTGTGTGGGTGGTGTACACGACTCTGCCTCACATTCCCATTAAATTCCTGCATTTCTTTCTTTTTTTTTCCTTTTCTTTTGTTATGGTTGAGCGTTTAATTTATTTATTTTTTTTTTTTTTTTCTGTGATCTGTAAGGGTGGTGGGGGGCCGCACTCCGGCAGAAAACGGGGGGAGGAGAAGAACACTGCGCGTGTTGGGTGTGAATGGAATCGGATGACGAAATTGATGCGCTGGTCTCGGCACAGGTGGGGATGACGCGTGCTGGGGCAACAATATTGCCCGCGTCCGTGAGCGACGACGAGCTGGACGCACTGATCCACGAGGCACTGACAGGAGCATCGGCGGCGCCAAAGGCTGGTGAAAACAGAGCCATGGCCGCCGCAACAAATCCACGGCAGCAGCAGCGGCGTATCCAGCGAAACCGGGTTTCTTTTCCCAAAGCATCACCAGCAGTGGATGTGAGAATAGCAACGGGGGAGTCGGCGGCGCATGATCCCATAGTGGGGGCCCAGCGTGCATGCTCCTCCTCCTCATCCAAGAGCAGCGAAACTGACAGCGAGGCAATGCTGCAAGCCGTCCTGGAGGGTTACGGGTTTCCAGGCCCGAAAGGTCTCGAGACGCGTCATTTGCATGGAAAACAACCGAAGACGGTCCTGCAGGAGCACGAGGAGATCACAAAAGACGAATGTGACGAACAAAATGAGGAGGAAACTGTGCTGATGGAGGCTCTCCTGCATCTTGCTCAACCTCCGCGAGAACTTGTCTCTAAGAACCATCGGCAGAGCGGGGATTCCAAGCCGCATGATAGCTCAAGTCAAATAGTAACAACACAAACTAAGACGAAAAAGCTGACTGCATCAAACCCTTTTGCGAGAGGTAATGGCGAACACCTCATGTTATCGGACACACCCAATAGAAATGGTGAAACCCCTCCATGTGAGTTTTCGAGCGAAGAAGCCGCTCAGTGTCCTGAACATCCTCCTGTCATTCCAAAAGACGGGAAATTATCTAGCTCCACGGGGCCCTCCCCCGAGTTGCAAGACATGGAAGATGAGAAGCAAATTCTTACGGCCATATTAAATGCGGTTCGCGATCGTCAGTCAAGTGTGAGCGGGGACTTGGTGTATGGGGAAGATGACTGTAATGTGGATGCCGTGTTGCAGCACGCTGAACAAATTGCGGCATCGTCGCTTCGTGAGAACAAAGTTCAGCTGAGCCGCATTTTGCACTTACATGAGCACATTGAAATGCGTGAGGAACTAAGAAAGGCTCGAGGGTCCGTGGGGTGGCCCACCTGTGTCTGTGCGCGATCCGCTCCTGTGGTGATAGAAGGGGATTCCCCAAAGGGTTCTGGGGCATCGTCATTATCGCTACTACCGGCAGCAGCAGCAGCAACAGCAAAGCGGCCTGCTTTATGCGTCGGCACTACCCTTGGTGTCGTGCTGCTCTTTGACGCAAATAAAAAAATCTGTGGAATGTGTGGCTCCGTTTTAGCCTTCTCGATAGAAGCGCGGGGCGCTGTTGTCTCTCTTTCCATGTCTTTTGATGCCTCCACCGTGTTGGCCGGGTATGAGCGAGGGGACTTAGTGCTTTGGGACACGGACACTCTCACCCCACTCCGCGAAATAGTGGGTGAGTTTAGTACACCCGCCACTCGGTTGAGGTATTGTTGCATGGACCCTTTTAAGATCGTTGTACTTAACAGCAGTGGCAGTGTGAAACTCCTCTCCTTCACTCGCATCATGTCTAAATTGATTTATCGTTTGACGCATATTGCCTCGTCCGACTCAGAGGCACCATTTAATGATATGGATATTGCATTTGTGAGGGAAGAGGGACTTTATTTGGTGGCAGCGGTTTCCGCAGACACATTACTTGTCTCTGCGCTGGAGTGCGGGCTAACGAACGTGACAACTCCTATCAGCCGACGGTCACAACCCCTCAATTCCGCCCGGACGCATGAATTACTGAAGTTTGTGCCCACTTCAGTCGGAAATCGAGTGCTGATGTGTGTTGCTTGGAGCGTTGATCTTGAGGTATTTAGCGTTTCTGCCGGAGGCACTTTTTCACAAATCGAGCGAATAGCCGTTGTACGTCTTGAAAGGCCGTTGCATGCAATGAGTCTTATTGCCGACTGTTGTTTGCTGCTTCTTGACCAGAAGGATGTGCTGCACTTACTGGATGCAGGTGTCGGAGTCATTGTGGAAACGCGAGTTCTTCACGGCGTGGAGCCTGTTGTGTTCTCCAGCCGGAGTTGTGGCATGAGGCGCAATGCGGCTTTTGCGTTCATGGGCAGCGATGTTTTCTTATTGGGTCGCCGTCGAACCTTCACTTGTACTCTGCTCTCGTGGCGGGCTCGTCTGGATGCGCTGGTGGAGAAGCGGCGTTTCCCTGAGGCTCTGGAACTTGCTAAGGCATTTGCACTGGAGGTTGCACTAGCTGTTGTGGGTCTTCATGGAGACTCCGCTACACGTCGTGCAAGTATTCACTCTTATTTGCCTCATCTCATTACATCGTACCTGGAGCATGTCACGGAATCAAATTCTTCTCAAGAAACCCTTGTACGTTGCATTACATGTATCATTCAGTTTTGCTCAGAAGTTGATGCCATGGATGTGTTCTTTGGCCCTGTAATGGAATTCCTTAGGCGTGACTCTCTGCATTATTCTCTTGCATTGTATTGTCTTGAAGAAAGCATTGTTTTGGGTCTCGTGACTGTACTGCCGGATATGTATATTCAACCCTTTTTTGATTTGTTTGCCAATGAAACGTTACCCGTGATCACGGAATTAATGCATGGAACAGGTGATGCCGTGTCTTCATGTGGAATGTTGAGGGTCGAACGTGCTTTGATGTGTCTTGATGGCAACCATGAGCTTCTGATGCGTATTGCGAAGAAGCATAAGCTGGTAAGACTGGCTGTTTCTATACTTTCTTACAGACAGCAGCGGTATGTGGATGCGCTCCGATTCGCTCTTGAGGAAGATCATGAGCATGGGGTAGCAGTTTGTTTTTTTGAGTGCTCCATGGAGGGGTATACAATTTTGGGTGACACGGAGATTTCTGTCGATCAGCGTCAAAAGGCGAAGCGGGAACTTTGGTGCCACCTATTGACCGTCCCGAATGACTTCTTGGCACTTCTTCGTATGGATCCCGAACGTGTTCTTTTTACAACATTCTCATCGCTACAGGAAAGTGGGCCCGATTCCCCTTGGGGTGAAGCATTGTCGAAGAGGCAATGCGTTGGGGAGTTGTTTCTGCAGCTGGTGGGGACGGAGGTATCATCGAGTGACCCCCTCAGACCGTGGGAGCTGGCACGACGAAAGTGGCCGCCATATTCTGTTGTACATCAGCTCTTTACTGGTGTGACCCATCTTTTGCTAACTGAAGCCTTGGTTCTCCCCCATATGCGGCAATTCTGCGAGCACGCATGCTCGCATTTTATATACGAATTTCAAATTGCTAAGAATGAACACGAACGCCGCGGTGCGCAGAGTGACATGGCGGCTCTCATGACTGACTTCATTACCAGGGAGGTAGATTTTTCATTTGCGGAGGATGAACTGCGTCAGCAACGCATGGCGCGCGCCTTGGCTGCTCTGCACTGCTCTCGACTAGAGTATGACGAGGCCATTGACTGTTATTTGGACAGGGAGAATAATTGTGCGGATCCGGAGCTGTCAAAAGACGTTTTTCGTGTGCTTCGAGAGGAGATGACCCGAGCTTATCATTTGGGTGATGAAACGATGGCGCAACGACTGCGAGAGGCTGTTATGCATCGAATCTCTCTCTTGGTAAACGTGGATGCGACGTCGCTGGCGCAGTTCGTACTGGAGCACCTCCAGGGGAGTCACGAGGATGTCATGAATATCCTTCGCCGCTCCAGTGGGACGTTTCTTCGTTACCTCGACGAGTTGGTAGCGAAGGACGACCCGATGGTATCGAACGATGTGAGGTTGCAGAATACGTACATTGAATTACTGTGTGCTCATGACCCGGCGCGAGTTTACCCGTACCTGCATTCACGCGATCTGATCATTACATATGATATTCATCTTGTGCTGGATGCGGTGAAGCGACACAATATTGCGGATGCCGCAGTGTTTCTGCTTGAAAAAACGCTCATGATCCACGAGGCGATGGAAATCCTGTTGGGCGCCGTTACCGGAAAACTGCGTGCACTACGACAGGAGGTGCTAGACCATGTTGTTTCCGTCTGCCGGAAGGGCACGCGTCCTCCTCGACTCTCGTTGTGGACACTGTCCCAGCAACAGGATACGGGAAGGACGCGAAGGATGACGGCGGCGGAGAGAAGAAGAGGCGGAAGGGAGGAAGACGGAGAAAAGAAGGGAGAACAGCAGCCACACGGGGAGCAGCAGCAGCAGCGTGCCCATATTTGGGCTGGTGAGGAGCCACTGCAGCAGGTGCTGAAGGTGGGTGTGAATTTGTGCAACAAGTACAACGATGACTGTGCTCCGCAGTTGAACCAGAATTGGTTTTGTTTGCTGGAGCTTTTTACGCGTCCACGTCGTCTTTTGTGTGATCGACAGAACCAACACAACGCTGCGTTGAGGTCGGTACAGGACGCGGTGGATGGGTTTGAAGACGATGAAATTTGTGCGACACTCACACCCGGAGGCAGTCCGCGGAACGAAGGCAGGTTCCCTCTTTTGTCAGGCCCTCTCTCGGCCGTGGGTGTATTGTTTCTGGAAAATATGATTGCTATTTACACAAAATATGTCTCGTTTCTGCTCACACACATGGTTGAAGTGCTGGATCCTTCTGCTGTCGTCTGCCGAATCGTCGAGGATCATGAACGTGAGCGGTTTGGTCCTTTTAAGCCTGTCATCGTTGACATTATGTCTTCACTTAATTTTGAACTAGAGGTCAACCGCCTTTGTAAGAGTTGTATTGACAACGACATTATGGCACTTGGAAATGAGCTCCACCGAAGCCTGAACGGAGGCGTCGTTTCTCTCTCCGATACATGCTACATCTGCGAGGGAGGTCTTGGCGATGCATGTGGGGCCGAGGGGGAAACATCGGTGCGAATATTTGCCTGTGGACATGGCTATCACGACACGTGCGCCATGAACTTTGATGGCGGGGCGGAGTGTGCCCAGTGCTGCAAGGAGCGCATGGGGGAGAATTACCGTGTCGCGCTGAGAGTGCCACGCGATGGCGTAGGTGATGAAATAAAGAAAGATGGGGGGAAAAATAAGGAGAATGGGGAGGACCTGCCGCAGGCGATGGCGCGGGAAAAGGAGGGGGGGAAAAGGGGAGAAGAGGAAGTTTCAAGGGTCCTTCGGAGGTTGCGATACACGCGGGCGAGGCTCGACGGGGCACGGGACTACTCTGATCTCCTTTGCAGGTTCCTTTGCCCAAGTGAATCCCTGACACCGTCACACGAGTTGCTGAAGGGATCCACGGAGAAAAGGTTGCTTGCGCCTGCGCCACCTTTTCCCATCAGTTTCGGAGAATTTTCTGCAGAGACGTTAGACTTTGGCCCCACCCTGACGGCGGGCCTGACGGACGAGGAGCTGCTCGACTTGTTTGGCACGCAAGAGGAGGGCAGCGATGATGATGATGATGATAAGGGGGTGATGTCGCTTGGGGATGGGATGGAATTTCAGTTTGACACGACGCAGTGAGTGGCAATAGGCGAAGCGCAAGAATTAACGGAGGTGACAAATGAAATGTTCTCCTTTTATCATTTATGATTATTATTTTTTTTGCATGTTTTAGCCGCTCGCTCGTCCATCTTGTCCGTCTTTGACAAATACACACGAACACACATGCACATAGAGATGTGCCCCTCCACCGTAACCGTCAGGAAATGAAGCGACAGAAAAGCAATAACCGAAAACAAGATATGCACTGATGCGATGAACTTGCTCCTGTCATTGATTGTGTAAATGCGTCCACACTTCTTTCTCTCACTTTCTCATTATTATTATTTTTTCAACATTTGTTCAGTTGGAAGGTGGGGTTAAGGATAACGCCAGTGATGAAGCAGAACGGCGGGAGAGAAACGCCAGATGGGGTGCGTTATCCCCACATCGCCCTTGACGTACTTGGGCAGTGCCACAGCAGCGCTTGTGTGGAGCTTGGAAACACGCGTGTCATTTGCGCAGTTCACCACCCACAGCAGCTTGTGGATGAGTACCGTGGGAGTCGTGGACGTGTAGCATGCACCGTACGAAGGTCCGCTTCGGCGGGTTCTCATGCTGCAGGATCTGCTCAGCCGTCTGTTGTGACGCCGGAGAAGGACATGTCCCTTGCGTTGGAAGGAGTGGCAGAAGAGGTGGTGATACTGGAAAAGATTCCGCAGTTGTTGGTGGAGGTGGTGGTGGAAATTCTTGCAGAGGATGGAGGCGTGTGGGATGCCGTGGCGACAAGTATGAGTGCGGCGTTGGTAAGCGGGGGCTTTGAAATGTACGATTTATTCTCTGCCTGCGGTTCCGCCCTGCTTTCTGATGGCGCAGTGGTGCTGGACCCCGATGCTGCGGAGGAGTCCAACGCCCAGGCATCCGCTCTTGTTTGTTTGATGCTCAACTCGGGCGACATTTGCTACGCCAGGCATCAAGGGTCGTGTGAGCCGGGGACGGTCTTGGAACTCGTTTCTTCTGCCATGAAGGGATGCCTCTCCCGTAAATCAGCCATCACAACGCAATTAATCAATCACCCGATTTTATGAGGGGGCATCTTAGCCCGAGTGTGGCTTTTGGTGATTGTAAAGATAAACTGTGGTGGTGTGCGTGTGTGTGTGTGTGTGTGCGGCCTACACTAGGGGAGGGAGTGTGAGGGCATGCCGGATAATTCAACAGAAGGGAAGACTAATACCAATAAAATTTGTGAAGGAGGGAAGAGGAGAAAGTGGAGGCCTTTTTTTCTTTCCGTCTCTCTCTCTGTCCTGTTGCCGTGCGAATATATTTGTATCTCTTTTTCTATCTTTTTTTTTGTGTGTGTGTGTGTGGATCAAGCAAAATGTTTGGGCAGTGAAGCAACACATTTCAGGTTGTTTCACTCCAACACCAACGTGAGCCGCAGGGGAAGAGAGGGAAAGAGGGGGGGGGGAAGGCATCCGATGTGGTCCGCTGCCCTTGTGGCTGCCGTCGCCGCAATTCTGTTCCTGCACCCCGGCGCCGCAGTGAATTCCCTGCAGTCTCTTAAAGCCGTGGAAGGCACAACATGTCATCCTTCCATGTGAAGGTGGCGGGACCTGCACTTTAAAGGGGAGATTTTCTGCTCGAAGGCTACTACCAACCGCAGCGTGCACGGAGCGTCGGTTTTTGTTTCCTCCCACGGCGATGGAGGCGTTTTTGATTTTTTTTTTTGCTTGTGGGCTCTTTGGTTTTTGGAATTTCTCCTCTCTACCGACTTGTCTTTTTCCAGTCGTACCGCGCGGAGATGATTGTTTCTTTTTTCACACCTCTGCTGCTTCCAGTCGGCACCTCCTCTTGACGGTGGTGGTGGTAGTGGCGTGGATATTTCACCGCAGTGCCTGCTCTCGTCCACACTTTAGAGAGAATTTCTGCCAATGCAGGGCGTCACGTGTCTTTTTCATGATGGCGTGGGTATGTTTTTGTCTCCTGTTGATTTGCCGTTTCATCGCAGAACTGCTCAACCAACAAGATTAGATGGCTTTTGGGCCTTTTTGTTCTGTTTTCCTTTGATAGAGAGAGAGTGTGTGTGTGTGTGTGCCTTATATCCCTTCTGCTTCTCATTTTTCTCTCCCTGTGCCGGCATGTCTGCTTTTGACTTGGCGGAAGAGATGTCCACTGGCTCGACAGAAGACGTTCATATGACCGAAGAGACTATCATACGGCGTTGCCGAATGCATCAAGGATACACCACACCAGAGTTGAATGAGAAGCTCTACCTTAATCATGTAGGCTTTAGAACGATATCTTCTCTAGACGCCTTTCACCAATGTACCGTGTTGTATCTCAACGACAATGCGATTAGCAGCCTCGAGGGACTTTGCCCACTGCAGCGGCTTCACTCTCTCTACCTTAACAACAATGTCCTTCAGGAATGCTGTACTCTTCCGGTATTGCCTTCACTGCGTCTGCTTGATATTTCGAACAACAGTATTGGGTCCTTTGCGGGGATCTCCAACGCCCCGGGGCTGGAGACACTTCTTGCCGCCAGCAACCGTGTCACGAACTTGCAGGGACTGGAGCCACTCGGGCACCTTGTCACCGTTGACGTCTCCCAGAATTGCATATCTCAGGCGGATCATGCACTTCCATTGCTCTTTCAGAAAAAAACGGTCCGCACATGTATGTTACAAGGCAACCAATTTGTGAGAACGACACCATCTTACAGAAAAGTGGTAATTGCTCAAATGCCTTCTCTCCGATTCCTAGACCAATATCCCGTTTCCCCTGAGGAGCGGAGCTGTGCCGAGGCGCACGCCATTGGCGGGGTGGAGATGGAAAAGGCAAAACGGATGGAAAACGAGCGGAGGGAAGAGGAGGAAAGAAAAAAACAATTTTTGTTTTTCAGCGAGGCACGCGCGACGGTGCGGGAGCGCCGATTGACGGAGGGTCCGCGCGTGGGTTCCACAGCCTATTTTGAAAACAACAAATGCGACGACATTTATGTGCCGAACCGTTGAACGACAATAACCACACTCAACGGCTGCCCTTTACTTTTTTTCTCTGGGTGTGCCGGTGGCGTATCCCCAGTCACATTATGGAGCAATGCTACGCCCAACGCTCTACCGCATTGATGCAAGCGTACTTTCCTGCTTGTTTCGCCAACGAACAACGCATGTATATTTCTGGGTTGCTTTGAGAGGGCTTCCCATGTGGGGTGATACAGTCACATATTAGTGCATACAAAACGAGGCTTCGGGTTCCTCTTTTTCTTCATCGCCATTATCCATTCAAACGACGCTCAATTCCGCATTGGCAACGTTGGGGACTCTCTGCTGTTTCTCATGCCACACGAGGCAGGATGCATCTCATGCGTGAGGACTCTTTATCGCCAAAGAGAAAGGGATCAGTGGCTCTTTACGGGAAATGAGGCGGCAGCAGCAGCAAATGGAAGAATGATAATGCGACTCTTCTCTTTCCACCACCTGACGACGCTGGACCCAAAAGGGGAACCACATGTGAATGCAACGCACGGCGCACTTACTTGTGCACTGTTGTTCGACCTGTCGTGAAGCGGGATGGAGCCGCCAATGACTCACCTGGCGGGGATGCGAGGTGGAACGATGATCTCGCCCGACTCGCACCGTGTGTGTTCCCATCGTACATGCGGGCGCACGCAGGGCACTCCAGAGAGCCTATAAACCGTGTTTTAAATTTGTGTATGGTCACATTGGTCACGTCGCACACGGTTTCCTTCTTGGCAAGGGACCCGGTGATGTTTGGGCACAACTGCAGAGCTTTATTGGGGAGGACGCGAAGACCGCGAGAGAGGCGTCTTCTCTCGACACACAGGAGGGCGGAAGAGGGTGCGAGGGCTTTCGAGGTTGGATGCGGCTGCAGTTGGAGTTGCGTCACGATGACTGGCCGCGAGGTGTGATTGTGCGGAGGCAGCGCAGTGTGACGCGTAGTACTGCTGTGCGGGGAATTGGACGGAGGTTGGCACGGAGTGAGGAGAGAAGTGACGCACCCAGGAAGCAAGAGGCCAATGTTGCAATGACGTTGGTGAAGTGTTTTCCATGGGATGAGCTGAGATGCTTCTCCCATGGCGCTTAGCTGTGCCCGCGCAGCCCGTGTTTTCTATCTTTTTGGCTCCACAGAGTGTCCAGGCTTTTGGTTCTTGCCTGCTTGGGACTCCTCCACCATTGGAGTCAACGAACCACGACGATCCATCGGGATTCCAAACCCACGGGAATTGTGGGCTTCAGCGTGGCCAATCTGGATCAGTGAGCGGAGACCTGCGGCGAGTATCTCACGCACTGTCACGGGTATCGGCGCCTGTGTGTGTCTGCCCTATGACCGGCATTTGTATGGCGCACGCACTTGGCAAGGCTGAGGGAAAGGGCGGGGATCCCCACGGGCACGTGTCTGCAGTCAGAATGCGTAAATTGTGGACTTGTTTGTGCGGCAAGGCAGCAAGGTCGCTCAGGAGAAGCAGCATAGATTGGGAGTACACTTTCTAGCGGCGCGTGCTTGGTGACTCTCGAGGCGAATGCCCCAAAGGGACGTATGTGGGTGAAGCAGATGCACTGGATATGCGCAGTGCCATGCCTTGTGACAGGGAGCGAGGCAGGAGTAGCGTGATTCCTCCCGCCATAGACCTGTCAACTTTTGAGGAGTTGGAGTGAAGCTAAGGGACAAGCGTGTGTGTCTTCACCTTCTTACGGGAGGACGCGCAGAAATTAGATTTTGTTTGTTGTCACGGTGCCTGCGGCGACGTTAATGGGGAGTTTGTTCTCCAGAGGCATTCATTGTGCGATTTGTGCGTGTTTGGTGTCTAACGTTTTCAGCACCGCCAAATGGAGCGTTGCGCAGGATCGGAATACATGGATGTGCGAGAGCATTGTATCGCTCGCCCGTAATAACACACACGCACACAGTTTCAGCGTGTCTGATATGTCACTTTCTTCAGAACGGTCGAAATCACTTGTGGGACATCACTTCATTTGCGGCGTCGCGACGGCGAGGGAAAGGGAGAGATATGCCGAGAACGCAATGCCACTCCATAATACCGCAGGCTGCCGGCGACAAGGATCAGAGAGCCTCTACCCAACATTGAGAAGAGGGCAGCACTCTGATGATCCGGTTTGCTCTTTAGGAAATTGTAATGTAGTGTACATCGTGTGGACCTTTTTGCTGCGGATATGCAGAAGGTTGATGTGGGGTGGAATTATTGTTGAGGGCAGCACGGACGCCGCCTGACCTTTATTGGAGGGATGAGTACTGTTATTCCGTGTTTCCTTGCCTGCGCTGTCACACTTATGCTGTGAGTGCGGATGGCCACAGTAGTGGAGCTGAATACGGTTCAATGTGTGTTGCTCACGGGGACTGCGCGACACATGTTTTTGTTGGGTTTCCCAAAAGAGGGGCGCATCGCCGTTGCGTGATTCCCGCGGCAGTCCATTACTCTGCGACTGTGGATGCCGCCGTTTGCTGCGCCACTGCAAACCTTCGCATTTGTGAGAAATGGGGAGCGTGACTGCTGTGGCGGTGGTCGAATGTTCCCGAATTGGTGCTTTTGGTGATTTCACTTAGAGCGCCGAGCAGCGAGGGCCGCACACGCCCAGGAGATGGGAGTGTCAGCTGCAACCGCACCTGCGATTTGTATTTGGGATGCGACAAGTTTCTCTGGTATTTTTATTCTTGGTGATATGCGGGGCAACGGTGTGTTGGCGTGTGCGGGCTGCTCATGGCTGCTGGTGTTGCCTTTCCTGCTGTTCCCCCGCTCAGCTCCTTTGCGTGCGACGGACCAAACGTTTTTATGGGCGTGTGGTGGGACCGCGTTCTTGATTGGAAAAAAAGCCTTCCACAGGCATAATGATACTGCCGTCTGTGCCACACGAGGCGGTGGGGAAGATCCTGGAATTTATTTGCGGGGCGGCACCGCACCCATGCCGTGTGGTTGATTTGTATTCCGCAATGCACGGTGAGGGGGATGTGCGGTGACAACTTCCTCCAGTGAGGCGGCACGAGCAGCACGGGGAGCGGAACGGAGGAGTGGTGGCTGCGTGCTCCCACGTGATACGTGAATGGCGAATGCAATAAGAAAGGCAGCGTCACGGCTCTTTTTTGCCATGCACACCGCAGATATTTTCCATAAAGCACGCAAACTGCATTTTTTGTTGTGTGGGAACTTACCGTGATGCATCGCCGTTGTGGAGTTTACGATTTGGGGTTCTTGCGTGTGGCCGTTGCTGCACCAAATTCCTTCCCACTTGTGTCTGTGTGTGTTTGTGTTAGGGTTTATGCGCGCATCTCCTCTTGCCGAGTGTGTGTGCGGTGACGGCGGTGCCACACGTGTGCGGGACCGTGGCGAGCGGAATGCGTGGGCGAACCCTCCGCGCCCACCACGTTGTTGTTGGCTCTCACCGACACTGTGCTGGGTGGATGGTATCCACGGGCCGTCTTTGTGGTGGTCCTCGTGCATGTGGTGTGCATCGCACATTGTGTGGATGGTTTTTTTGTTGCGGGTGCCAGTAATTTCTGTGCGTAATTTCCTTCATTCTTATTCCTCTCCCTTTTCATTGTTTGTCAGTATTCAGCTTTAACACGATCCAACCAAGAAAACAAGGAGAAACAATGCCTGGTGGGCACAATAGAGTGCAAGGTGGCAGTATGGAGACCCAAGCGTCTACTGTGCCGCAGGGAGATGGCCAGAGGAGAGCGATGCCGGAGTCGGAGGGTGTCACAGGTCAACCCGCTGCGACCCGCAGAAGAGCGAAGAGGGCGCGACGACCAGAGTGGACCATGAGCAGCACCGTAAGGGACATCCTGCTGGAGGGAAGCACCGGAATGGCCAAAATGAAGCTCAATGATTTTCTTCGGAATTATGTTGGCGGTGGGGCAGCCGTTGATGAAGACCACAATGTTACGATGGAGGTGTTTGTCCAGGAGCCGGATGATTACGTACAAGACCAGCAGATTTTTGATGAGATCCATAACTTAACAGAGTAACAAGTGCTAGAAGGGAGGGGAGTACTATTGGAGGCTACTACTAATC